TTCCGTATATAATAAAATGTCTTTCATTCTGTACAGAAAGTCAGAAAGGCCGTCTGCTAATTTGTGCTGATTTTAACTCGCTCACAAGTGTTAAATAAGCTTGGTTAGATAGTTAATAAAATTTTACTACAAACGAAACATAAATAAGTAAATTATTTAAAATATCAACAACGCATGTTTGAATGCAACTTTGAATTTTTGGACATTGTTGAAAAATAACAAGTAACATCTATTAAATGTCGTAATAAATATTACCTATCCAGGGTGTTAAAAAAGTAAGCTGCCAAAAAAACGATTTCTTGCATGATTTTAAGTCAAAGATTTCATATAGACATAGGTACAAAAGATAAAGAGTGTTAAAGTTTTCTAAAAAATTAGGTTTTCTTTTAATAACTTTTATATCACTTTCGATACTTTTATCAAATTTGGTGTACATCTTTTAATTATTGAGAGGCGGTTTTTGACACGAAAGCTTTATTTTTATTTTTACCAGTGCTGTCCGTACTGGGTTTGGACTGACTATTTTTTAAAAAAATGGCACGCTGCTGCTTTTTCTGAAAACAAAAATGACTTTTAAAATCCCCATTCAATTTGGAGCGAATTTGCTGCATGAACTTGCGTTCGTACGACGCACGGTTTTCTCTTAAAAAAATAATAATACTCACACCGTAATTGAAAACCATTAGAAAACCATGAAACATGTAGTGCCCGTAATTAAGGGTTCGTTGTAAACAGAATTCTGGAGAGGGAAATTTTTTCCGACCAAATAAAAATTGCCAAAATTGCGCCTATCCATAAAAATGGCGACCAATGCGACCCAAATAATTACCGCAATCATCCCGGTTCTGGCCAAGGTGGTGGAGAAGTTATTGAAGAGCAGTTCTCAATTTGGTTATCGCAAAGGGAAATCTATTACTCTTGCTCTTGTGGACTTTGTCGAGGAGGTGGCACTTGGTCTTGGTAGCACTGAGGTGGTAAGAGCCACATTGTTTGACTTGACTAAGGCTTTTGACTGTATTGATCACAATGTATTGCATCGGAAGTTCGAGTGGTGTGGTTTGAGGGGCACTCCGCTCGAACTGCTTAAGTCTTACCTGGACAATAGATCTCAGTTGGTCGAAATCAACGGAACTTCCCGCCAGGTATGGAATTCCGCAAGGCTCTATCCTGGGCCACCTACTTTTCGTTATATACAATAATGATCTCCCTTTAAAGAACTCCCATCATGTTACGTTCCACGCAGTCGTCTGAATCAAGTCCCAATTAATCTATTGGGCGTGTCACTGGATAAATCGTTGACATATCGAACTCCTTTGTAACAGATTGTCCACTAGACTTTACCTGCTAAGGCATGTTAAATCCTTTGCCCCATCGATCATGATGAGGATGGTTTATTTTGGTTGCTGTCGTACGCGGTCCTAGACTGGGGCGGGTCTGTCCATGCAGCCAAAGCTTTCCAAATGCAAAAGAATATACGCACAATGCACAGATCAACCTCTGGCACATTGCCGCCCTATCTTCAAGAGGCTAAAGATCATGACACTTTGAAAGACATTCTGACAGATATGCACACAACACCAGACAGGCAAACCTCATCGTACCATACTACTCCAGACTGACGACCTCGGCAAGGAATAAGCCTCGCACCGACTTGTACAATGTTCTTCCTCAACATATCTGAGACTTATCACAGTCTAAATTCTCCAGAGAAGTTAGAATGTTTCTTGTGGAGCATGCTTTTTACTCAATTACAGAATACACCCTTTCGGCCAAAAACGAATCTATACCCATCTATACTTACGTTTTCTGTTAAATTTTAGATTCCATCGTTTCTAAACTTTATAATTTATGTATTGTTGTATATTTCGTCATACTGCTTTCACGCATAGAATTTATTAAAAAGTACCTCCATAAAGTTGTTTGTAAAATGAGATTTAAGTACCGCAAAATAGACAAAAGGCATGTATGGAATCGCACAGATGTTGTCTGCAAAGAAGACTAAGTGTTCTTGATTATCATGAGGATACTAGTGTCCAGCCCTTTGAAAATTAGGGTCGAAACAATCTTTTAAAAAATATTCACCAAATAACAGTGTTATTATTAATTACGTTTAAAAAAAAAACGCAAATTTTGGGAGTCTTCAATTGATACGCAATTAAAAAACAGTATGTCGCTCGTGGTGAAACAAAACCGCCCTCAGAATGACGCCCCGTCAGTTTATTTCACAGCAAGACCTAAAATCAATCGCGGACGATATTTTTCGAAAGGGGCATAATAAATTAAAAGGCTACAAGTGGGAAGACCTATAAAGAGAGTTGTTTTATTTTATTAAGGAAACTTTTTGATTTCATTTCCTTGTAGTGGCCGCTTTACGTCAAAGCGCGGACACCAAAACAGGGATGTTCTAGAAGATTTTACGAGCATCAATCAAGAAAAGATATTCCGATACCCCACTGAATTTTTGAAGATAAAACTTTTTCACCAAAATTGTTGTTTGACATATTCTGAAATTTTAAAAATTGCAAAACAAATAAGAACTAAAACTTTCGCATACAATTGTTTCGACAACACATACATACATACCGGAAAATGACCATAAAACCTTAATTAATGTTGTCGTGAGAATTTAAGTTCAATAAAGGAAGGGTATTTAAATCTAATTGATCGTTAAACAATACATTTGAATGTCTCATTTTGTTCATCTCCATGCGTAGCATAATTAGAATATAGGCTATTGTTTTTAAGGTTTTATGTCATTTTTCGGTATAGATAGCCGAAGAAGAATATATCAGTGATAATTTAAGACAATAATACAAAATATTATTATAAAACAAATTTTATTATTATTTATGCTATTTCAATATAATTATTATTAATAAAATTTTATATTTTTATAACAATGTTGTAAAGAATACAATCGTTTTTTTTTTCATTTTTACCAAACAGCATATATAGTTATTATTAATAAAATTTTAAAAAAATTAATAAAGTTTTTCTTTTCATTTTTACCAAACAGCGTAAATTTACAAAAAAATAATCATTTTTAAATTTTTAAAGCTGTTATGATCTATATTTATTTTTTCAAATTTATTTAGTAAATTATCATTTTTTAATTTACTAGTCAACACTCCACCTTTAAGCTAATATCTTGATTCGGGTTTAAAGGCCGTCGTCGGTTGTAATTCCTTCCTAACGTTTCGCTAGCACAAGTGGCGAGCTTCTTCAGAGGTCCTTCCATCTCCGATGTTGGACGTAGACTGACGGTTTCTCCTGCGCAGGTTGTATTTATGCCGATTGGTGGTGGGCGGGGCTTGTTCTGCTTCGGTTGGTCTCGGGATATCGATCGGTACTGCTCGGGCGTTCCTAAGGATCGGGTTCCAGATTTGGTTGAGTCTAAGGGTCTCCTCCTTTCTGTTGAAATTGTGTGGGCGTTTTTGTATCTCAATGGCTTCCCTGACTAGTCTGTTGTGATAGCCGTTGACCGATGCTAGTAACTTACAGCTTTCAAAGTGTATCCTGTGTTCCCCGCTGCCCAGAGCGTGTTCAGCTACTGCAGACTTCTCTGTCTGTCCTAGCCTGCAGCTTGCTTTATGCTCCTTAAGTCTCGTTCCCATTGATCTCTTGGTAGTTCCGATGTAGACCTTTCCGCATGAACACGGAATGCGGTAGACTCCTGCAGCTGAGAGTGAGTCCCTCTTGTCCTTCGCTGACCTGATGGTCTGCTGGATCTTCTTTGTAGGCTTAAAGATTGTTTTGATGTTGTGTCTTTTCAATACTCTGCCAATCCTGTCGGTGACACGCGGAATATACGGCAGGTATGCGTGGGAGGTGGAGGGTCGTTGTTCGGTATCCCGTGATCTTGATGATCTTGAGTTCATTGATCTCTCGATCTCCCTCTTGTTGTAGCCATTTACCTCGAACGCAGTTTTCAGGTGTACAAGAGATCAATGTATCAAATCAAATCATAATAAGTGTTGTTCGGTTGTGTTTTTTTAGTTAATATTTTAGTATTAAATTTTTAATTGTAATAATAATATTTTCTGTGATTTAAAATGGGCAGGGCGAATTATCAAATTATATCATTAAAAAATAAGTTTTAATTATTACTTAAATACAATTTTGCAAATTTAGATAATCATACAAATTATTTTGGTGTTGATGCTGATTTTTGACAAAAAAATAAGTTAAAAAAATAAAAATAACTGTAAATTAACAAATAATTTTAAGTTGTTATTATATTTTAAATTTCATAAATTTATCTTTTAATTAAAAGTGTTTAAAATTTTTATTATAAAAAAAAAATGTTGAAATCGAAATTTAAAAAAATCGTTTGAGTGATCAATTTTCCATCATAAGTACTTATAAATAATATATATAGATTAATTTTTCAAGGAAGTGGTCATGGACTTTACCAATGAAGAAAAACGAGTTATAGTAAAATATAATATAAAAACGATACAAAAAGGTGTTCTGAAAGACAACAACCTCAACGCACTTCGGAACCTATTTTGGGTCAATTATTTTCTGGTTCGTGTGATTTCCAAAAAACCAAAACGCAGTCTCGAGGTTACCACGATAATTGGATAATTCCTCTGGAATTCCTCTGAAATTCTTCGAGCAATTCCTTGACGTTGTTCTGCGATTGTTCCGATCGCTCGAAAATTAATTGCAATTGCTTTGGAATTCCTTTGTACTATAATTCATTGCTCTAAATTTGACAGCGCCATTACAACAGAGAACAAATCAGTCATGGTCGATTTTACTGGATTTCGTTTGGCACGCATTTTGGCAATTTTTGAATCAGCTCACCACGACGTCCGGATTTGCGCTCCACAGATTTTTAAACATAAACGCGTAGATATAAAACAGAAATGGCACGAATTTGATAAAAATCGTTCGAATCGTTTTACATTTCGGCCATTAAAACTGTTCCGCGTTTAATTGCGAGTTTAACAATTCCCTCGTTAAAATATGGTCGTTAAAACGTTTTTCTGTTGCAGGCGATGTCGACGGGCGTCGCGGCGTTTAGCGGAAAACACGGTTACGATATGAAATTCGGGAGGAAATGAGAAAATGGAACTGAACGAAATGGAATCGATAGCGGCGTTCGAACAGTACGATCAGGCCAGTTCGACCTGGTCGTTTACGGACAACTTTACGACAGAGGTGAATCGAACTTATTAGATATAGAGTACAGGCGTTGCCGGATTGCCGTGATTTTCCTTTAAGGGGGGGAGTTTTTTTTTATAATAATTTAAGGTTATTCAAAGAGATCGTGTGCAAATAAGGGAATTTTAAAAATAATTTTGTTGCACAATTAGCAATTTCTTCAGAAATTCGTAATTTTACAAATGCATATTTTTTATGTAGATGTAATATGCTGTAATGGCCTTTTAAGAATATTCTGTACCGTGGTTTTCAAAGAGATTTTGTGCACTTAAAGAAGTACTTATACGTATTACATCATTCTTTAGATATACGTTATTTTGCTTTACATTATTATATGTAGGTAAATTACATTGAAATGAAGGAATCTTTTTATAATATGCACAATTTGACGTATGCTGTTTGAGTAATGGAATTTTTTGGAATAACCTGCACTGTGGTTTTCAAAGAAATTTTGTGCACTTTGAGTATTATATGAATAATTTTTATATATATTGTTTTTTGAAATAATTTTACATTCCTATTTTCAAATATTTAACATTTTTGAAAGGATTGGAATTTTACATAAATGTAAATATACTAATTAAATAATTAGTTTTTTTTAAATAATCTGCGTTGTGGTTTTCAAAAGGACTTTGTGCGCATAAGGGAATTTTTAGAAATAACTTGGTGTATAATTTTTACATAAATGTAAATACGCTTGTTGGTATTACATCATTCTTTAGAGATACGTCATTTTACATTTGCGATTTTCCCAAAGCAATCTTATGTAGTTATTCAGTTATTTGATTAAAACTCCAAAACTATCGTTATTTTTTCATTTCGTATAAGAACAAAAGGGTATTATTTGACCCCGATCTCAGAAAAGCTACGGGAGAGGTAAATTCCAACCTCACTTTTTCTGATAAATCCCCGTCAAAAATAATACGTCCACGCACCGCTTAACAGGGTGTTCTCTAATTGAATGTCACTATTCAAAGGGGCGATTTTTGGGACCATTTTAAAGGGTCCTAAACGTCTTAACTTTTACGATAAATAAAATATATTTTTTTAATATCTGTAAAACCACTTTAGATATTTTAACCAAATTTGACACACTTTTTTATATATCAAGAGGCATTATTTAGTATACCATAATTTTCTTAAAATACACCAGTTGCGGGCGTACGGAATTTCACCCGTCTATTTCGGCATACATTAATGGCACGCCACTGATTTCTCTCAGTCACTGTCTATCAGCAAATAATATTTTTGTTAATTAGGTCGCCACTGCACTGATTAAATCGAAAACCTTTTTTGTGAAAAATAAAATATATACCTAAAAAAAATATCTAGAAAAAAAAAAGAATATTTCCTTAACTTTTACAGTTTTAATAAATAACAAATGAATAATAAACGATTGTTATTTAAACAAAAAAGTAGAACGTAGAAACTAGATGGGTTGTTGAAAGTGTCCTCCACGTTGAAGGATAAACCCTTCAGCTCTTTTCCTCATATACGATCATTTAGCTCTTCTACAGTGTTATATGCGATAAAGCACACTTCTAAGAGGCGCTCATAAGAAAAAGTCCAAACTATTTAAATCTGGAGACCTAGGAGGCCATGGTTGAGGTCCTCAAGCTGTCATTCATCTTCTAAATTTGTTACAACTCCGCATTTACCCGATTATTTTTAAGTTGCTATTCAAAAGTTTAAAATTATCTCTTTTTTGATCAAAAAAAGTTGAGTCTGTTTAGTTTATACCTTTATTTTAAAACTTACAAGCACAACCAACGTTTTTTGCAAGATATCTTCAGAAATTTCGAATGATTTCCTGTTCAAGCAGCAAAGGCTAATTAACGAAAATAGGTTTAATAATAAATTTTAGTGTAAGAGATGGATACACTTTTCTTGTAGTGATGAAGTGGCTCACCCAATGGCAATCTAATAGAAACGCTCACTCGTACGCTTTTATGTAAAATAGCTAAACTTATATACAGAAGCAAAAAAATCTCAACTGTTAAAAATATGCGTGTTGATTTTTAATACTCAAAACGAATCATATCAGACGTCAAAACAAATCTTATTCTGTCAAAATGTGGTATGACAGTTGACATACGTCATATGACATTTCAGGGAACTCTTAAGCTTGACCGTTTTAAAACTAAACTTTTTCAAAAAAAACCGGATGAAAAAGTTAAAGAAATTTCTAGGTAACTGTGTGCTAAATGGAATGAAAAAACTGTTTGTTTTATATAAGTTAAATTATAAAATGAAAATTTATGTACCGTGCGTTCAGTTTAGCTCGATAACATTTTAATTGGCTGTAACTTTTTTGTTTCTGGTGACATTAATATAAAGTTTTTTTCCAAGTAATGTATAAAACAAACCACTATCAATTTTCTCAAATATAAGCCTTAATAAGCCTTATATATTTTTAAATAGAACACCCTGTTTTTTATATATGTGTTTAATAGAATATCTTACTCCAATTACACTCGTTTTTGAAAAATATGGAAAAACAGGAAATTTTTATATAATTTCAAACTATTGACATTTTTTGACACGCTCACCGTCAACAGGTCGACGTGGCAAAGCGGCATCCGAACCTTGACCACGCTTCGCTCGAAATTAAGAACTTCTGCCCCTAAGGTTTAACCGAGGATGGACGTTTCCAAACCTTATGGGCGAAAAAGCGTCCCGGATTTGTTAAATTGTTCATTTCGACGAGACGACGACGTGGACGTCCCCGGATTATTCCGGGAACGTCCGGGACTTCGTCGTCAACCCTTTAATCCGAAACGGACGAGAAAGGAAATTCGTACTTTGTCTAGAGGCGAATATTCACTGATTCCTTTCTACTTACGCTTCAGCCTTAAACACCGTTCGGGTATGACCTATGACCCCACCAGAGACTATAGACAAGATTATAAAGACTATAGAGTTTGACTTCTAAATATATCTGGCGAACGGATAGAGGGATTTACCTCAAATTATAGAGGGTGATGTATTTTCAAGGATCTCTCCATAGCCATAGGGCTTTATCCAGGTGCGTCTCTCTAACCAGACTCCACAACTTCGATAATGGCTCCCTCGTATAGCTCTCTGCCTCTGGTTTGGTATCGCCCAGCAGATGGAAACGCACTCTCGCTAGGCCTTCGCAGTGGCACAGTACGTGTGCGGCAGTTTGCTCCTCTTCCTAACACAATCTACATTCTGTGTTTTCTTCCACTTCCATCAGGCTTAGATGCCTCTTAAGCCTGCAGTGGCCCGTCAGCAGACCTACCATTATTCTTACTTCTTATACCTTAATGCATGGTCACATCACCATCCGGCCCAAAAATCATCGGTTACCAACAATCTTGTTTATAGAGCTGTAAAACTGTCTCAGCCCGAGTCACCTAACCCAGAATTAAAACACCTTACCTCTGCTCTTCTCTCTAATAATTTCCACATTAAAGATATTAAGCATTTCATCGAAAAATACACTTCACCCACAACCTTCCAATAGCCATGAGGTCGAAAGCAAACTTACACTTGCCAATGGTGTTACACTAAATAATGTCGCTTGTATTTTAGAAAACTTCTCCACCCTGTATGTCAAAAGTTAAGACGTTGCAGACATATTTTCATGTGAAATTATCTTTTTAAAATGGACCCCAAATTCGCCGCCTTAATTTTTGATATTCAATTAGAAAACACCCTGTATATTTATGTCCCGCTTGTCGGGTCTTCCTTTGGACATCGAGCATCGACCTACGATCTACAACACAAGGACTCTCCACCGTTCGAGAAAAACGTGTCGAGTGCCTCTTCAAAGTGGAGGCCACTATCGAGTTCCATCTTTTTTTTTTCGCTCCGCTTTCCCCTTAATTGGTTCACCCCGCCTCCGCGCCCTAAGGTCAAACATTTAAGGACCTGCGTTAATATTCAATTTGCCGGACCCGCAGTTTGTAGGAATAGCGTGGGATGACGTCACTTGTTGCATAATGTACACAAATTATACTTAACATGCTACACGGCGAGCGCTGTATTAGTATTCCGGTCGTGGCAACGTCGCATTTTATCGGTATGGTTGTGTATACCGTGTTGGTGTAGGACGGAAACTAACTAAAAAGTAATACATTACCACCTTCGTACCTATTGTTACCGGGTAACCTCAACAATAAGTAACTGATTCATAGGCAAGGGCCAAGGCATAACTTTTTAAAGGGAAGGTAGTTGTTTTTGTAGTGTAATCTTCGGAACACGTTTCGCAAATCAACGAGAATTTTTTTTTGTCCTTTAACTGGTTGGCTATTAAAATTAAGAGACGAAGATATCCACTTGCTGGAGTAAAATACAACGAAAAACGTTTATTTTGATTTTTTTCTAATGAAATCGCATTTTTTTTTCACAATAACTAAACTAAGTTATTAAGTAGTAGATTTAACCGCTTATATAATAATATAAAATCTTTACATTTTGATTTTATTAAAGTTGTTATATTGTGAATTTAGGTTAACTTAAGGGCTGATATTTATATTTATTAGTTTTTCTCTTGTTAGACTCTGAATATTCTACTACATTGCATCCATTAAAAATGAATTAAGAAAAATGGGTCCCCCTTTTATTGAAAATTGGTTCTAACTGAAGGACTATGATTCAGATCTCACTTTTTTTTATATTGCGATATAACCCGCCTAGACAGCAACAACTTTTGTTTTTAAGGTTGTCACCTATTGTACAGGGTGTTCCGATATTCCGTGCTAAATGAGAATTGTGTTTTAAATTGGCAGATGTCAGCTTCAAATTTAGCAGAGAAGTAAAAGTCCGTGTCCACATTTAAATGGTAGAAATAGGGAGCAATCAAAATTTAGCAAGTATTTTTTAAAAATGTTGTGAAATTTTTTTTTTTCGTAATCGTAAAAAATGTGGCGTTTAAAAGGTTATTTGCATAAGTTCTCGGATGTGGGTTATTGGTGTTTTCTTGTATCATCCACTCATTCATTATTACGGTGTTCGGTTCTAATAGATGGCTG